AATACCAATTAGGCTATGCTGTATTGTCTATGAGTGGCGATCCATATGAGTGCCTGCCTATATTGCCACAACGTTCATAGTAGTTGATAGATATCAGAGCCTGCCTCGCCTCTCCTATCCACAATATCGACGACCCATCGGGGGGAAACATGTCATTGTTTCCTAATAGCGGGTTTGTGCATCCTCCAGCAGACCCTTGATTTCTAGCACTTTGTCTTAATCATATTCTATTACTTCAACGTACAGCTTACTATCAAGAAACATTTATCATTCTATGCCCATATTACCTGTTTGTCGTAGGAGGATTCACATCTGGTGTCAGAAGTTCTGAGTGTCACACAATTAATATTCAAATATGTAGGTACAACACTGTCTTAATAACTTTGTACAAAAATATGATGTAGTAGAAAGAGTATATTACGGGCATACTAAGCGAGGAGGAGTTTTGTATGAAGGTAGATGACAGGTATGCATCCTTTGCGTAACTAAGAGGAAATGTAAGGAAAAACATAAGTGTTGACGTGTTTGACCCTAAAGAACTACCAAGGAGATCCGATAAAAGGTACGTAAATCTAAGGTGGTGTGCATGGATGATTAGAACATAATTGTAAATCAAATGACCAATGACCATGCATAATGATGCACAAAATGTAAGAAATAAACCTGAACACCAGACAAGAAAAGCACACCATCATTCCCTAATTGTATCATGAAATATCAAATGAAATATACATAATACATACTCCAGCAGTAGTAATATTCATAGTCTAGAAATAATAGTAAGTAGAGGAATATATGATATAATTCAGAAGAATATACATATGAAACGAATTAGCAAAGTCAAGACTTTCCCAAATTATCTAGAGCCCAAAAGTTACATTGACCATTCTTGTACCAGTTTCGCTAAAATTTATATGCAGACCGTGGTAAGGTTATTGGAGGAGACAACCTTTAGGAGCATTAATGAATTGTTGTCGATTTCTTCCTGTATTTTCTGGTAGTGTAAATCAGTGTTTTTCATTTGATCATTTTACTGTTGATTTCTTGTAAAAATGTTTGCACAGGTATTATGTACATGTAAAGCGATCAGTCAGTCAAGATAGATATCTTTAAGTCCCACCGATCTATGGAATTTATCTCACTGCAAGTGATATTGTGACATATTTGGCTAAGGTTGTTGATAGTGTAATCGAGGCTTGTTTCTTCGAGGGCCACAAGATGCATGCACTGTTGAGACGTACAATGTATCCCGAAAAAGAATGGTGGGTATCGTGGTAAGTGCTGAACTTTACATCAAAGTAGATATCGATAGTATTTGTCGAGTTGTAAGGGTAGAGGAGTCCAATGTGGTTTGTTCAATTATCATATCAAAGAAGATGTTTCTCAGCGTTGAGTTGTTGTTCGGTAGGGCAAGCAGAGAATTGTGAGATAAAACAAATTCTGTATGCTAGATCAGGTCTTGTACTAGTAGTCAGATACATAAGTGATCCAATCATTGATTGGTAAATAGAGGGGTTTGGAATGCGTATGTCTTTTGTCACTTTTGTAAGTTAAATGCCTTTTGGTAAGGGTGTAGAAACACTGTTAGAGTTTTCCATTGAGAATTGTTTAAGGACTGACCTGATCTATTACTCTTGGGTAAGGTATAGCCTATCTGGTGTGTATGCGATATGCGAGCTGAGTAAGAATGTAGCTCCCCCTAGGTCTGTAATCTCGAATGCCACTTTCAGGTCTTCTATGAGAGAGATAGCTTCAAGGGTATTGGCTACGGGTATGGCAATGTTATCAATATAAATCAAAATATAGAGGTCATATTTATTGTGAATGAACATGCATGGATTGTGGGATATTGTTACAAATCCACTGGATGTCAAGAATCTGGCATGGAGAGTATACCATTCATTTGCAGATTGCTGATGTCTATGGAGACATCAGTTATATTTCAATACTTTTCCTTCAGTACCAAACCCCAGTAATGATCACATATAAATTTCTTCTTTCAATTTCTCATAGAGGAAAGCGGAATTAACATTGAATTATCATGGTCACTATTTGTTTTTATTGTATATCACAAGGATGAAGCGGAGAGATTTGTAACATATGACAGGAGCAAGGGTTTCTTCAAAGTCGAAGTTGGGAATTAGTCTAAATTCTTTAACAACAACTCTTGCTCGATACCTTTCTAGGGTGCTGTCAGTATTTCTTTTGACTCTGTAAACCTACTTTTGATTATTTTCTGTCCAATTGGTTTATCAACAACATCAAAGGTTCCACTGTTCTCAAGCGCCAGAATCTTATAGTCCGTAGCCGAGGTCTACAGGCCATGGTAGGGGCTGCTTATAGCTTGGTAATAAGTAGCAGGGTCCTCATCTGGTATTTCGGTAGCATTTCTGCTATATTGAATGGGTGGTCTTGAAACGCATCCAGCCCGAGTCCTTCTTTCTTCTTGGGGTTCCAATAGTTGTTCCTGTTCATGTACAGGTATTTCTGGAGTTGGAGGAGGAGGTGCAGAATTCTTGTAGTCTTCTCGATGTTCTGGTGGTAGAGGTGGAAGTACTTCAATGTCTGGGAGTGGCAATGGTTGGTCATTATCTTCCTTATCATAAGGTTTGTTGTGACGGTGCGAGGCAGCCTGGAAAGAGGGAAGCATGACCATTGCAAAGGTCTCCAATGCATGGGTTGGTTGTCTTGGATCCTGGAATTTTGTTGGGTCAAGCGGTATTATTGTCGGAGTTGTCTAATGGATTTGTGTAGTCTCAGAGATCTGATGTTGCAATAGTATACATATTCGATATATTTTGTCTGAGGAGGTATAACCAACAAGATATCCTTCCAAGGCCAGGAGCTGTAGCTTCATTCTAGGTTTTCTTTTCTCCTCTTGCACATGGATGTAGCATTTGGTCCTGTATGGGGGCAAGTGGTTGATCAACAGCTATGTTTTGTAGATAGCTTCATAGGACATTGAGTTTCCTATAGCTCAGTTAGGAACTCTGTTTCTAAAGTAGAGGGTGGTGGAGACTACTTTAGTCCAAAGGCTAAGAGTAACTCCAGTCAACATAGAGAGTGGCGATGTGATGATAGTACGATTGAACCATTCAGCAATACTATTAGATCCAGGTAACTAAGAAGGGGTCTTATTATGCACAATTTCATACTTCTGAAAAAGTGCAAGCATTTTGTCATTGATGTACTCGCCTCCATTGTTAGTACAAAATGTTTTGCGGATGGTGGAATCCAGAATTGTTCTTTCCTGGATGAACTGTTCGAATACTTTTACAGTGTTGGACCACACTTTTATTATGTAAATCCAGGTGTAGCATGTATTGTCATCGATACAAGTAACATAGTACCAGGAGGTGCAAAAGAAGGGTTTTGAGAATTGTCCGCTAAGATCGGAGTGAATGAACTCGAAATGTGTGTGACATCATTTCTTATTTGATTGGGGCTTTGACTGAGCTGACTTGGAGGTGATACATGTTTTACATTGCTAGTCTTTTGGAACTGTAGGGATTGCAGGAGAGTCAGAGTAGTAGTCGGCTTTGAGGTATTGCGGTGATGGATGTCCAAGGGCTCTATACCACTCTTTGTAAGTAATATTGTTTCCTGTCTCTTTTTCCTCTTATACAAGGTAATCTGTTCTGTCAAGCTTTCCCCATAGAGCCTCTGTTTCATTTTTCCTAAAAACATACATATTTTTCCCAGAACCCCACAAAGAAAACTCTTTTCTCAAAGAAATAATAGGGTACCATGACAGCAAGTTGCTAGAACCTAACATAGGAACCCAAAGAATATGTAGCAGCAAGACAGAGGCTGTTCAGCTATCAGATGTTTTGGCCTTAAGCTCGAATGTTCTATGGCAGTGGGATTCTATTACTGAATCATCACCTGTACCGGTGGGTCACTCAGGTAGATGGTTCCTCAGGATACGACCAAACCAAACTTTGAATCTCTTAAATACAGGACTTGCAAAAGTGTAAAGAATAAAAGTAAATGGTAAAACTTAATATCGTTAAGCTTAGGCTTATCTCAATTAAAGTCTCTCGAGAGGATGTTGACTGTGTTGGGGTAGGAGAGTTCTCGTATAATCTTTAAGTTGTCAGACTTATACCAAAAGCTCCCCCATCCGGTTACCCCCACCAACATGAATATGCCCTTCACCGTAAGAGTTGCCCCGGTACCATTACCGTGTCCCCGAAGGGCCTAAGGTGTCAGCGCACTCTAGCAGAATTCTCCTCTATGCACATCAGTTCCTGTGAGGTGTTTACCAATACACCTGCGGGAGTGAAAACCTCTGCCCATAGGGTTCTCGCTAGTGGCTAAGTGTCGAGACACCTAGAGACGCTAACTAAATGACTGTCTTTCCATCTACCATAACCTATGCAAGCTGCTGTAGACTTCAGCTGTCTTCCAGTTAAGTTCTATGTTTCTTGATTACGAACTTAGAAGGTCTACGACGCACACGTGGAGAGCTGCGGCGGCAGCGGGACCCGTGGGCCCTACCCATGGTCCCTTACCCCCGGCACACCACTCACCATGATAAGTAGCATGCTATTTGAGTCCTCGGGTACATGTAGGCTTGATTGGCATAAAACCTACCCAGATGTCTTTGGGACTACCCAGGACCACTCTAAGGACCCGTCCGTGTAGCTCATGCTAACTGTGTCAGTTTTGGTCAGTTTTACTCTGTTCCTTTTGGAGAAGGTACCTGACCTTCTCACCTTGGCCCCCTTATATACCCTGCGAACAGACTCCAATTAGACGGACGGCAGTGACGTATACAGTATTCTGGATACGTTTGTACAAACTCCATTTCATGAGTAAGACAGCAACTCCACCGATTTTGCCCCATAACGCCTGGGGCGAACCCTGAGGCCGTAGGTACCAGTTAGGAATAATCCTGCCAAGTTACAGCTTGATCAGAGCACTATAGCACTTCCTGTAGTTTTCCGATCAATGTACCAGCCAGTGACCGTCAATCATCATTTGGTAAGGAACAATCCTAACATTTCCCGCAAGTCCTCTGAGAACATTTCGGATGAAAGGTAGGGTAATAGTGTCCTAAATGTAGGGTATGTATGTCCATAGTGACATGAAACTGGTCACCATGGAAGGGTAATGTGACGTCCCGAGACTGTAACCACCTGACGTTATAGAGCTATGGTAACCTATGTCTATGGCTATAGATAAGACCAAGAGGTCAGATGGTAGGTGAGGCGGATATGCAGACGCATATCCGCGGGATATCTGATGGTTAGGATCTCTCTAAGGACAGAAGGCGCTTAAGAAAATAGTATACCCAAGTAGTGGTAGTAATGTGACAATGTCCGCTCTGGCCTAAGGATAGGACAGAAGGCGGGGTGAGTTTACGCGGTCTAAGGAAGTCACGTTACCCTACCATGGAGACCGGTTTCGTGTCACCATGGACATACTTACACTACATTTGGGACACTATTACCCTACCTTCCGTCGGAAACGTTCTTGGAAGAATTTTGGAAAATGTTAGAATTGTTTGTTATGCAATGGCGATAGACGGACACTTGTTTGCACTTTGATCGGAAGGCTACGGGAGGAGCTATAGTGCTCCGAACAAGCTGTAACTTGGTAGAATTATTCCTAACAGGTACCTGCGGCCCCAGCCTTTGCCCCAGGCGTCATGGGGGAAAATGGGTGGAGTTGCCATCTTACTAGTTAAATGGAGTTCATGAAGACATGTCCATAACACTGTATACGTCGCTGCCGTCCGTTCGACCGGAGGCAGTTCGCAGGATATATAAGGGGGTGAAGCTGAGAAGGTCAGGTACCTTCTCCAAAAGCAACAGAGTAAAACGGACCAAAACTGACAGAGTTAGCATGCACTATCAGGAAGGGTCCCCAGAGTAGTCGCGGGTAGTACGGGAGACATCTGGGAAGGTTTTACGCCAATCAAGCCAACATGTGCCCATTTACCCCAGGCTCTTTGTGGGTTGTTCGAAGACTCTAATAGCATAATACTTATCACGCTGAGTGGTGTGCCCGGGGTAAGGGACCATGGGTAGCGCCCACGGGTCACGCCACTGACACAGCTGGACGTGGGAGTACCGTAGACCCTCTAAGTTCTTACTCAAGAAAGATAGAGCTTAGCTGGGAGACAGCTAATGTCTACGGGAGCTTGCATAGGTCATAGCATATGGTAACAGAGTCATTTAGTTAGCTTTCCTAGGTGTCTCGACAGTTAGCAACTGACGTGACACTGATGCGCGAGGTTTTTCAATCCGGCAGGTGTATTGGTAAACACCTCGCAGGAACTGATGTACATATAGGAGAATTCTGCTAGAGTGCGCTGACACCTTAGCCCTTTCGGGGACACGGTAATGGTGCCGGGGCAACGCTTACGGAGAAAGAGCATACTCATGTTGGTCGTGGTAACCTGATGGGGGAGTTTTTGGTATAAGTCTAACTCCTTAAAGATTATACCACAACTCTCCTACCCTGACACAATCAACATCCTCGTGAGAGACTTTAATTAAGATAAGCCTGAGCTTAACGATATTAAGTTTTGCCGTTTACTTTTATTCTTTACACTTTTGCAAGAGCCGTGTTCAAGAGATTCGCAGTTTGGTACGGTCGCATCCTTAGGAACCATCTACCTGAGGGAGCTCCCGTTACAGTATATCGTTAAGCGAGCTTCTCGCTTAACTCTCCTCCTGATTTTTTGTTTGGATTGAACCGGCGTTAAGAAATCATGTCTGCTTTGACAGTCACGATGGAAGAGGAATCGTCGAGTTCCCAAAGCAGTTTTGGAATTGATGATGACCCTCTCAAAGCTGACATTTTTAGGGGCTCGATTATCGTCAACGTAAAGGGCATCGGCGTTGCAACTACAAAAATGCTTCTTCAAGCAGTCCCGATAGAAGCTCCTGAACATTGCCGTGATCTAGTACTTCATGATGCAGGCCTAGCTGCACTATCCTTCGCGAACGATATTCCCTTCGCTCAAGGAGTGGCAGAGGGGTACGATCATAGAGAAGAAGAAAATGAGACCCATGGGCCTCCTACGATTTCTGTCGTGGAATTCTCTTGCAACTACGTCAAACCCTATATCCTACGAGAAGTGACCCATGAGGTCACCAGCGCAAGGAAGGATCTGTTGCATTGGAATAAAGGGCAACAAAAGAAGTTTAGGAAGGAAATTATTTGGTCGTCGGTGGTATGAATAAAAAGGCAACAGGATGCCTTTGTCGTGATGCTGAACAATCAGTTTGTGATGAAGATACGGATGGACGCGCTGGAGAAGGCATGGAATGACAGGTATCACATCGATAAAGATAATGATGTGCTAATGATTGAGGCTGTACCGGCTTTACCGCTGGTAACCGATAAGCCAGACAACTTTTCGCAGTAGCCAACGATGTATGCTAGAGACGATTGATACAAACCAGAGCTAAGTCCGCTAGGGTTCTGGATTCTGGAAAGCTGGAAAACGCCAGAATCAGAGGCAGGTCAGTCCTTTGCCTGTGTTACAACTCTTTCGCTCTCTACGTCGGTCGCTCGAAATCATTCAGTCAGTCCGATCGGAGGAATACGATGACATGGATCACCAAGACCCCATCGATCTAGCATAATGAGACCATTAAGGTGCCCCTCTCTATCGATTACGGTGACTCCAGTTGAACCATCAGTATCACGGACTCTCCTCCCTCCTCCGACAGCGACCGGATCTGTTCCGACCCCGCACAGTACTCCTGTTTCCGTCCCATGGTTAGTCATGCACGCAGGATCTCCCGGTCTAGCCGAACGAGTCGAAAGAACATTGAAAATGTGGGATAATCCTAAACGAGTAAACCCACATCCCACAACTACCTCACAAGGGACCCCAGTTCCTGTCGCGGCGACACCCCGTCAACCCAACCGGCCACAGGTCTATGTGCCTACGGCACCTGTAAAACCTTCGGGTAATGCAGGATTTTCTGGGTTTGAGTCAGCACCTCCAGTATGAGGACCTTCCTGTCATCCCGCATGCTCGGGATAAGGTGGGCGACATGACTTCTTTAGTCACCCACCACTACCGGAGGTACCGGGGGGCCCATCACGAGAGGCCAGACAAGATAAGGGAAAGGGAAAAGCGGAACCCCTGTGTGGGTATTGCAATAAGAGGGGTCATAAAGGACCTCCAATACACCCAGAGACCTGTCCCGCTTTTGTCGAATTGTTAAAGGTGTCGCAGGCTGCGCCAAACCCAACACCATCGGGGAGTAACCAGCCAGCAGGCTCAGTGCCGCCACCAGCACTGTCAGGAGGGGGTCCTCCCAATGACAGGAATCCTGGTAGTCAAGACAAGCAATTTGATGGTTATGAGAGACCAAGGGAAACCTTCGGTGGCAACGCTGGAGGCAGTGGGGGTAGTAATCTACCTCCCGCTGGAGGTTTCTTTGGGGCTGGTGGAGGGGACCCGGGTGATTCCGACCATGATGACAGCTCTGATGATGATGCTGATTCCCTACCCGATGTCACACCCTTTTTGGGACCACGCCGTAATGGCTGGAATGACGGGAAGAAGGATGGATATGACCGTCGGGCAGAATCACTATGAGAAAGGTTGTGAAGCCAATCTCGTTCCTCGTCATATTCGAGACGCAGGAAGCTGGAGAAGCTAAGCGGCATTCCCACGTTTAACAGAGTGGTGGCCGACCTGGCTAGTTTTCTGACCTTGGTCGAAGTCAGGTTAGAGTACTTTTCTGATTACCGTCTAGCGGACATGGATAAGATCAACTTCGTCATACCTCTTCTTAAAGACCAAGCCCGAAACTGGTACCTAGGCAAACACGCACACATCAACCGTGAAGCTGCTAAACGAGCCGGTATGCCGTTCAACAAGAATGGACCACTCCGGACATAGAAGGGTATCCGTGAACAGTTCGAGCAGAGTCACGGAGGTGACAACGTGAATAGGGATAAGAATCTTCTCTCCTGGAACAACTTGGTGATATCCCCCCACCACAGCAGTCCCTACCTGGACAAGGTTATCGATCTGATATACAAGCTGAACTACACAGACCACCAGCAGGTTAAGGATAAGGTTAGGGCAGGGATAACGTCTGAGCTTCGGACGTGATGGGCGTTGATGACACCTCACCCTGAAAGTCTCAACAATTACTTGGATTTGCTTCGGCAAGTTGGTCATAATCTCGAAGATGATAAGCATTTCAGACATTTCAACGATGATAAACCGCCGAAACCACGAGAGAAAAGAGAGAAGCAAACTTCTAAACTGACAGGAAGGTTTAAGAAGGAGGAGAAAGGTTCGGGTTGGAAGGACAACAAGGCGCGGAAGACCACTAATGTTGGCGCCAGAAAGCAGGCCGGGACGTCTGAGTATGCAATTGCTCATCGAGATATCCCTCAAACCCGGAGGGATAAACGATGCAACAATAAGCAATGTACCAAGTACGGGAGAGAAGGACACTACTGGAGACAGTGTTTGGTGACCTCCCCGGTCATTCATCCTGTAAGGAATATCGCGGGAGTGAAACGGTCACGCCTAAAAGCGGAATCCTCTACAAGTGGCAATAAGCCATTTAAGCGCATTGAAGTATCTCGTCCGCTGCCTTCTGGGCCCAAGCTCTTAGAAGCTCGCAAACCTTCTCCCCCTATTATGGAGGTTGATACAGACCTCGGTGAAGGTAAGAACCTAATCCTAAGAAGGAGATAACATAGGCTAACCTATCTAGATCAATGAAGATCTCGTAGAAAGGATGGCCCCTCAAGTGAAGCAGATTAAGGTAAGAACCAATCCACATTGACTAGTTCTTCAATTCTGACAAAGTCGTCAATACCGGAGTATTGAGAAACTACTGAGTCAGGTAGATGTTATGGTCGCACGCGTTGCTTGGGTTCTTTCTTTTGTGTTCTTGGGCTTTGTTATTTCTCATGGTTTTTTATATTGGACATGCTGGGGGAATTACTTTCAGGTTTTTCTTTGGATAAGCATTCTGCTCCGAGGAGTCGCTCTGGAAAATGGGAACCGCACGACATTCAGATGGGGCACAAAGATGCCCTGTTTGGGAACCGGTAGACTGGACATCTTCGGAGAGCAAATGTATTTCTTGTCTTATATGGGTCGTTTGTCTTGTACGGTTGAATTGATTGAGTTATTAGTCTTGAATAAAAAGTTATCTTTCAAGTTTACCTGAGGAGAGTTTAGTACCCAAAATCATGCTGGTATGATAGTAGACAGCACTCCAATTCCTCTTATTGATTAAGACTATTCTTGAAACATTTACCAACCCGTTGTGGCCGCTCTTGTGTCGAAAGGCAAGAGACTAGCAAGAATGAGTACCGTGAGACAAAACAAGAAAGTGCGGCACTCCAGCCCACCCAAACATAGCAAGTCTATTCACCTAAAAGTGACACTAGATTTGCCCATAGGGTGTAGGCATGTAAGTGCCAAAGCGCTGTTGTTAATAGATCGTGGAGCTACTGGCCCTGTGTTAAGTAGTCAATGGGTTAAGAGTACCCAAGCTCCCTGTGTACGAAGAAGGATTCATACTCCTATAAAGGATGCAAGCGCAAATCACATACCAGGATCAGGTCTTCATTATACCAAATCATTAGACTTGAAGATAGGTGATCACATGAATGGTATGCGCTTCGAAGTAGCAAATCTCGCCGATACTAGAGTCCATGGTTATCTCCCAATGTCGTGGTTAGAAAGATCATGACCCCGACATAGATTAGAAAGTAGGATCACTGACCTGGCGCTCAGGTTTCTGTAAGGCTAACTGCCTAACAGAGCAGAGGCGGTTAGTATACATGACTGATGAAGAACTGTTGGCCGAAGATCCCGAAAACGTATATTTTCTACGGAGGGTACAGTCCTCGGATGAGAGTGGTGAAGGTGTAACAGTTCAACTCTTGCCGGAGTACAAGGACTTTGGAGACATCTTCAGCCAAGAGAGAATAGAAGCACTACCGGAACATATGAAGTATGATCATAGAATTGATTTAATTCCTGAAAGTACACCTCCCTTTGGGCCTCTCTAT